ATCTTAAGAAGGGATTTAAAATACTCTAGATTCTGTGTGGTCCTGATGTTGAGAAGTAGCTTGTTCTACAGTTTGGGACCAACCACAGAGAACGCTCTGTCCCTGCGAGTCTTGTGGCGGGTTTTTGGAACTGTTAAAAGAGCTTGAGAGCTGGACCTCATGGTTCTGGCAGAGACGTAAGCGGACAGCAGCTCAGAGATGTAAACTGGGGCCAGGCCATGAAGGGATTTAAAAACAAAAAGTAACGTTTTGAAATGGATCCTGTAAGAGACAGGAAGCCAATGGAGAGAGGCCAGAACCGGGGTTATGTGATCCCGCTTGCTGGTGCCAGTCCGCTGCATTTTGGACCAGCTGAAGCCGGTGTAGGGAGGACTGGTCCAGGCCAGAAAACAGGGAGTTGAAGTAGTCCAATCAGCAAGACACGGAACAGGTGGATGACATGTTCCAGGACATTAGCAGGAAGGTATGTATTATAAATGCTAAGTAAGAGAGACGTGTTTCACATTATTTAGCTGATATCAGTCCACACTGCCAACAGCCTTGGAGCGAGTGTTGTGTGTGTGATATTGTTTGCCGCAGATGGGTTTGGGTTGAGTTTTGTGCCAGTTAGTCTCAGCGCTGATGCAGAGAAACACAGGAGGGACACTGAGGACTAGAAAGTTAAAGCTCCTCCTGCAGCAGAGCTGACCTGGTTCTGAACTTGTTCTGAGTCCGGCTCTCATTTGAACATGTTCAAGGTTGATTTCTTAAACAGAGTTAGCTCGAGAGAGCAGTCAGATCACTCACCAGCCATGTTTTAAAGCACATATATTAGACAGTTTGTTTTGTACATGATCTAAGTTACTAAATTCCCACAACAATAGGCGTGCTGCTTTTATCCGAACTTCCGGGTATATGCAGCAAGGGGGGAAGTGACCGGGAGATCCGAAGGCCTGTTCCTCTTAGCTGACTGCTACATAGCGTGTTACATCATCGATTGACACAAAACGTGTCAAAAGTTGTAAACAAAAGATCGACACCCTTGAGACAGCAGGAATAGGAACCATGTTCATGTTTGCCATGTTGTTATATGCAGCAATGGCAGTCATGAATAACAGAGGACCACACGATGAGGAGCTCAGAGATGCAGAGAGATTCAGCAGAATGAGAAGACTTGTTTTGTGTCACCTCCTGTCAGAGCAAGACAGAATGTGCCGTTCCGGACAAAGGGTAAGTGTACTTCCATGTACATTTTCATACAAGGTCCAACTGCCCACTCACATGTATAATATAATCACGCAGAGGATATGAATCTTTCAGTTAGAGTACAAATGATCGGTTGTGACCAGTGACATATATATACACGTTTGTGACATGTGTTAATTAGCCAGCACAGCTAACATGTAAATGGAAATGTAACCAAACATACATCCCTACATCAAACACCTGTCACAGAGTGCTGGACATAGACTCCCGGTATAGTAACTGCTTCTTAGACCTTTGAATACAATAAACGGTGTAACGAATATATTTAGGTGTAACTCTAGCCCCCTCTTGGCCAGGAACCCCATGTAAATTAGGTCTGTATTATCTCCATACAGTCAATTAATGGCAATAAACCAGACAAATTAAAGAAATAAATGTGTGGATTGAACCACCAGATGTGTGTATGTGTATACCAAATGTATGTGCCAGCTGACAGCAGATCAATAGAGTTATATTAGAAACAACAACTGATGGTTAACAGACCTTAGTTATCTTTCAATATATAATATAATACAATTAACAAATGAACATATGCATGTTATATTGTAGACTATATACAGTAGTCATGTCACCAGGCAAATGGTAGAAATCCTTCCTTTCCTGCTGTACATCAGTCGATTTTATGAGGCGGTAGTTAAATCCATTGATTTAATTCATTACAATATGATGGGCCCAAAATGTCCACACCATTTACATTTTGGTGGTCATAAACAGTGAATGATCATCACTACAGCTTAAATAGGCACACATGTACTGTTAGAAGATACAGAGTTAGTGTGTTCACATAGTCAGTGAGCTAACCTTCCAACTCAGATTTTTGCTGTTCCATCTAAGAAGGTGACAACATGTCTCTCCCATCGTATGGGTCCACCCCAGGAGTGCTGAGTGGTGGACTGTGATTGTGCCAACTTTCTCCAATCTGAAGTGGCTACAGAATGTCTGGATGGCACAGAAAACCTTTCAGTACATCTGCAGATGAGTACAACCAGCTATGGAGAAGCAGGACACCCCTTTTCACTTGAGTGTGCCCCTCCAGCAATGGGTCGCCCTAGTAATCTGGAAAATGGCAACCAACTCTGACTACAGAACAGTTGCTCACCTGTTTAGGGTAAGCCGGTCAACTGCCTGCAAGTGTTTGAAGGCTTTCTGTTCTGCTGTGGAGGAGATACTCTGAAGTGATCCACACACCAACCCAAGGCACACTCAGAGAAATGGCAAACTTCTGCGAAAACTGATGGGTCTTGCCTCCGTGTGCTGGTGCCATAGATGGCTCACACATTCCAATTCAGGCACTTATAGAGTATCACACAGAGTATTGTAATTGAAAAGGGTGGTAGTCTGTTGTCCTGCAGGGACTGGTTGATGGCAAAGGACTCTTCTGAAATGTATTTGCTAGACTCCCTGGCAGTTTGCATGATGCAAGGGTTCTGTGCAAGTCCTGACCGTGGGCTCTGGTTGAGGATGAAGGCAAGTTATTACCTGGAGATCGACATCGTATTGGAGGTCTTGAGATGGGCTATTACATCTTGGGGGATGCTGCATATCTTTAAATGAGCTGGCTTGTAAAGCCCTTTATGGAGAATGGCTGCCTAACAGAACAACAACATCAATTCAATCTCAAGATCAGCAGAGCTAGAGTGGTGGTGGAAAATACATTTGGATGGTTGAAGGGATGATGGCGATGTCTGCTGAAGAGGAATGACTGCTACTGACCTGGTTAAGTCAATTGTGGTAACATGTTGTGTACTACACAATATATGCGAGTGCCACAGGGATGTATGGGTCATTCCTGCTCCCCAAAACCAAGATGTGTTGCTTCCTGCAGGTGCAGATATGTGCGGCAGTATGCAGAGCCCTAATGAGTCACCTAGATCTTTGAATGCATTTCAATGCATTGTGTAGTGCATAATAAATATTTAAACCTGAATTGGCTTTCATTATTAATTGTAATACACAAAATTAAATAATTTCCATCAGCAATCAACTCTGTAAATGTCCTCACAAGTTGTGCTATGAGTGTTAAATAATGTAGAAAGTGGTAGATGTAAGGAAACCGAATGTAGTCATGAATGAATGCTGCATAAATTTTTTACTTGGGTAGGAAATATGTAAAATGTGCATATAAATGAGTATAAATGAGTTAATCCAGTGATGGACCAGCACCAGGTTGACTGGCTGGGTGCAACCTTGCCATCACCATGTTGAATAGTCCCAAGATGTTGTCATGCACCTCACGCAGCTGCTGCCCTGACTCCTCCCTTTGCTGTTGCCTTTCGGCAGACATGTCCATTCCTCCTGCTCAAAGCAGAACTGAAATAGACGTTCTCGCTCCTCTTGTCGTATAGTCTCCTCTCTCTCTCTCTCTCTCTCTCTTTCTCTCTCTCTCTCTCTCTCTCTCTCTCTCTCTCTCTCTCTCTCTAAGTCGCCTCTTCAGCCTCTCTCTGTCTTTTTCCTATGGATGAAATATAAGAATATGTATAAAGCAAAGCAAATACAATTTTGATGCAACATAACACATTCCTGTCCACATTAAACAGAAGTGGGACACAGAGTTGTCAACATTCACACACCCACACACACACACACACACACACACACTAGCAGATGCAGCCCTACACTGTAAACCCCAATAAGTTCAGTGAACTCAAAATGTTTGAGGAAACTGATTACATAATAATTTTTTAGTTAACTTACTTAAAAACAATAAGTTCAACATAACTTAAAAAATTTAACTACATCCAACCTATAACTTAGTACCTAAGTAACTTACAAAGTTTAATTTCACTAAACTTCAATTTTTTTATTGTACTTTAACTTTATTACATTGTTTTACTAACTTAAATATTATAACTTATATGAACTTTAAATGGACCTATTAAACCCTAAGCTAAGTCTAACAACCCTTCATTGACAGGGTCTTTCTTAAAAGAAAAAAAATGAGACAGCATTGCAATTGCAAGTTTATTTCAAACCACCTGCACAAAATCTTACATGCTTCTGCATTTGAACAGGTTTTAAATGCTTAACAAAATAGTGCTTAAATTTGGGTTAAAAAAATGTATATCTATAAATACATATACTATTTATGTTAAAGTTTTATAAGCAAAAACCTAAAAAATATAATAAGTGTTTAAAAAATGTCATATAACTTTGTAAGACAAAAGGTGTTTCAAAGTGTGTTAGTTTTATATCAGCATCAGGCTGAGATTATTATTATATATATATATATATATATATATATATATATATATATATATATATATATATATATATATAAAGCCTGATGCTGATATGAAACTTTATAAGACTTTTTTAAAAACATTTTACCAAAATAGAATAAACTATTTTTTTCCCTTATAAAACGTTAACATAAATAGTATTTGTATAACAGAAAACATTGTACATTAGTTTTTAACAATTGTTCACTTTTAAAACATTGACAAATAGAATTTAAGGAACATTTACAACAACAAAAAATAATGTGCAAAGAGCATTTTCTTAAATGTTGCTGCATTTGAACATGTTTTAAATGCGTTACAAGATAGTGCTTCAATTTGGGGGAAAAAACAAACAAGTAAATACAAAAATATATATCTATATATGTACATATACTATTTATGTTAACGTTTTATAAGTGAAAACCTAAAAAAATATAGTAAAGGTTTAAAAAGTGCCTAAAGACATCTTTAAAAACATTTTACCAAAATACAACAAACTATTTTGTATGGTTTTCACTTATAAAACGTTAACATAAATAGTATTCGTATAACAGAAAACTTTTTACTTTAGTTTTTACCAATTGTTCCCTTTTGAAATATTGACAAATAGAATTTAGGGAACATTTAAAACAACAAAAAATAATGATAGAGCATTTTCTTACATATTTTCGTTACAGGACAAAGTTAAATAGAATATTAAACAGGGGCATATCTAGGGGCATATTTGTGAAGGTCTCCACAAATGTAAGGCTGTCGGGAACAGATAGCAGCAGATCTCCATAAACTTACAGAATTTTGTATGAAACTTTACTAAAGTTTAGTAAAACTTCTAATGCAAGGTATCAACAACCTTAGAACAGTTTCACATTTATCAACATTAACATGTCTATGTGTAGTGCCAGCATCTACACAAGTTACTCTGGCAGTAACTGATCATGTTTGAGGCGAAGAAGACATGGTTTCAACTGTTTTCCGTCCTCAAGGCCCATCAGTAGTTTCTGGACGAATGTAAATGTGTGAACAAGGTTTTTTGGATAGTCTAGATGCAAGACATAAAACAATCCAAACAACAACACAAATGCATCAGCCCACTTGGCAATGTCGCCTACCACAAGCTCGTCCTCCACTACAACTGCTGCACTGACCGGACTGAAGTGCATTGGGGTTGTACTGTTCTCGTTTACAATGGTCAGAATACCAACAATGGTGTTGCTGATGTCTGGCTCGGGAGATTCTTCAATCTACAAGGGACAAAAGCAGTTTTGCATTCAAGACAGAGATTTAATTGTTACAAGGCAAAAAGGGATTATTATTCAAACTTCCAAGATGGAAGGAACAGTATTAGTATATGTACATTTGTTGGCAATTTACACAAAAAGTATTACACGTAATTGGATGACATTTTCAGGAAAGGTTAGTAATGACACATAGAAGTAATGTTAATATTTTTGGCCTTATCTGGCTAACTATCTGGATTCAGAGATCTTTTAAAGTTGTTACAACTTAAGTCCGGCAAAGTGCAGTTCACTATTCATTGGCAAAATGATGCACTTAAGTATGCAGTTTTTAGAGACAATTTGCTCTGCTGCATAATATTGCTTTGGCAATATTATGCTTTGGCTTTGCTTATTGTCAGCACATCTGGATTATTGACCAGCACAGTGTTGCTCTTAATTTTGTAAACACTGGAGCCCTCATGCTGCTTTTTTAAATACACAAGCTTCAGTTTCAGATTTGCATACAATGAAACCTAAAACAGTACCCTATTCAGCTTATTATGTCACATTTATTGAAACACAGTAGCATCTGTGATCCAATATTTAACTGTTACTTTGTATTAATCACATCATCCATAAATACCTACATTCCAAACTTTGAAGAATTGTGGCTCCTCCTCTCGTAGGTATATTGGAAGTCCGTGCAGGACAAGAGTACGTCTGATATCAGCATCCTGTTCTTGCTGCACAGAGAAGATGCAAAAAAAAAAAATTATAAAAATAAATTTCACAAGTGTACATACTTGGAAGTATCTTGTACATAGCCAAACAATGGTAGTTATGCCTTACAACTGCACTTTACCTGCTTATCATACAGCTTCAGCATGCCGCTCAGAGCCTCTGAAGTCTTGCCAGTTCGTGCCGCTTTCTGTCTCAACAAGATCAGCAGTCGTGGTGTCAGGTTGTCCAGTTCAGAATAAAACTGGTTTCGCAAGTTGACATTTGTGATGCGATGAAACTCTGCACAAATCTACAAAATAGAAGAAAAAATTAAGACTTCTGAAAATTCTACCCAAACAACAAAAAAGAAAACATTTAACCTGTGAATCAATGCGAAGAGCAGGCCATTTCTGTAGGAACTCGCCGATCATTAGGTCTCCCTTGACAATCTCAAGTCGACGAAGTGCAAAGGTCATCTGCATGAGCTTGTCAATCATCACAAGGTTTTTTTCACTTCTCTCGACTTCTTGCATGATTTGGAGCCTAACATTTTCAAGGCTGGTAGCATCTTGACCTTTAGGGAAATTTGGCAGGTAGTTCACCTCGGCACGCTTGGCTTTTTTTACATTCTGGTGTGGGTGCTCTTTGTCAGGATTGTTGAGGCTTCTTCTGCCTGAATTTACAGCAACTTCCAGGCATCCGGCTTTGGCTAGCTTACTACAGAAATTCCCCATTTTGTACTGCAAGCTCCACTTCCATCCATACCATCCACTTTCACTACTCTTCTCTTTGAGACACGGATGAGCCGTCACAAGAGCTTCTGCTGCCATGGCTATGTTTTTTTCAGTTGGATAAGGCTTAAAATGCATGACTGCTGTGGCCATGCTTTCCAGGATGCTGCTTTTTTGGGATCTTGTCAAAGTGATTGTTTTCCCTGACTGTTCATAAGCAGCATTGGCTTCTTGAAGAAGATGCTCCACTTCATAGGAAAAGGTGGGGACACTGAAGTTGTCTGGCCAGGTTTTCAGTCGGTTGCTAATGGGTGCATGAGGAAGGATTTCAGTGTCGGAGCTTTGTAATGAGACATTGTCAACTTCAGATCTGACCACCTGGAGTGTCCCCTTTTCAGGTAAATCTTCAATGTCAACCAGACAACAGAGCTGACCATCGAAATCTGGATCTTCATAGTGTAGAGTGAACTCATAGTCAAGCCTTGGCCTGCATTTTTCTTGCAGTGTTTGGATTAGATCCTCTACTGAATTGGGGCGCTCAGTTAGGGTCAACTTCACAGCTACCTCTGGAGCAATAAAAACTCTAAGCATGAACTTTGTGGGAGCTGCCATGTCTGAATAATAGAATAAAAAGAAACAAAAGGGTTACATGACCTTACTAATAATTCACAGTAACATCACTTTCTAACAGGAAGTACAAAGCGTTTCGGTGATAACAGCAGTTTGCCACTGACATTGTAAGCACAGAGTGGCAAGTTATCATTAAGCTCCAAAATGCTATGAACAGCAATATTTCCCGGTAACAATTCAAATGATCTCAAATGTTCCAAGTAAAAAGATTTGTAATCATTGCAAAGAAAAGTTACATTGTTGTTAACAATGAGGATGTTTTCAACTTTGCTAAACAGAGGGAGTCCTCCTTCCTGACCTACTGAAACAAACATCCCAACTTCGTACAAGGTGCCATCAATGGACATCCCTGATGTTGCATAAATGATGTTTGAGTCAGTTTTTTGTTTTATGTCTTGTTTTGCAACATCTGGTAGTTGTGAAACAAGAACAGAAGAAACACTTGATGTCTGTTGATGTGGCTTAAAAAAGCCTTGTGCGCTAAGGTGGTAAGCAATCATGTACTGATGCCTTGTTGCGAGTGTTTTGAGAACATTCTTGAAATTTTGTGCATCATGTACCACCCGTTTGAAAAAGCGATGTTTTCCCTCAAATCTCATAGTCCACAAATGGACAAGAGGCCCGAAGCACCGTATGAGATGGGGGTAGTGTTCGATGAAGTGGTGTTTGGGAAGCAGAGAGAAATCAGGGAAAACTTCCTGCAACATCTGTCTGTGATCCAGTATCTTGCTTTGCAAATACTGAATGGTCTCCTCGTCAAATATCGGACACAAAACAAGCTCCACAATCTCCTTTAAATCCATTAATATTGTCCACGCACCATCACCCTCAGGAACTGTGTCACCAATAATCAATGGGAGTAATCTCAGTAATGTGTTATTTTCATGCCCATTGCCACCTATGTTTTTCTTGTTGGCAAAGGTTTTGGAAATGGGCTTTGGTTTGTCTGTGGCATCTGTGCCCTTGTATGAAAATGACTAAATTTTTTGGTTCAAAGAATCCAGAGAGAAATACTTGAGCCTTATCATCCGATCTATACATAGGGCCAATTCGACTGGCACTATGCCCTCTAACAGATCATGCAGAGCATCAGGTGGGAAGCCAGTGGTTGGATGAAAATACTGAAGAGTGTTTCTCAAAATGCAGTCCCCTTTAACACCACACTGACTGGAAAGTTTCCCCTGCACCACATCCTGTACATCTCTGTCATGAGTGAGTTTTGACCTGGGACTAAATTCACCTTCGAAAACATCAAGAGACTGAATTTGGTTGTGTGTTGCTTTGCAGAATCTGCACACATAGCCTGCTCTGAAACACTGGACAAAGCCAGCTAATGAATGAGCAGCCAGATTATCAGCCACAACACAGAAAATGGTCCCACGGACAGTACAGCCAAGATGCTCAATATACAGACCATCTTTTTCGAGAATACACAGGTCTTTAAATAAGGGACCGAGAGTGTTTTGATAGCCATACTTCTGAACATCTGTCACTTTACAAAGGGCAGCTAGTTGGATTACATGGAGTGCTGATCGGTATTTTTGAGGAAGGTCTGCAAACACCCAATACACTGAGCATAGCTTGTGTATTTTTCTAGAAGTGCCAAGAGGATTTGCAATTTCCAGGTCATCAAGATACAAAATCAGTGGCAATGTCAACTCTGAAGAAGACAACAAATCATTTTCCTGGTAATACAAGCCATCTTTATGGCTCTTGAAATGTCCTTTTTCAGAATTCTTTGTTTCCTTAATCAGGTCAATGATATCAGTGTGTTTAAAAATTTCTTGAATCATCTCAAGTATTGGCACATATACTGTAGTATGTCCTGTGTCCAACACATATTGCACTGGCATGACAACAGGATAATGCCTCTCAATGTATGTTTTTCTTCGTTTTGCAGATGATAAATCTTGGCCCTTTCCTGTTGCCCTGACAAACAAGTTGGCCTCAACAACTGAACTGACCAAATCATTCACAACAACATCAGTAGGAGGAACAGAATGTTTCTGCAATATGTCTTCAATAGCAGATTTCAACAGAGGCTGAGATAAAAGAAATATTTCCCTCAGATGATCAACGATATCTTGACAAGCTCTCTCAGAGACATGGAGAATTGACTGCATTTTGAGAAACAAAGAGGCCAATTTTTGGTGCAACTGGGCTTCCCAAAAACTGGTTTCACAGATCCCATCTTCAGAATGAGGGGGCACATCTTCAGACAGCTCTTCAGGTTGACCTAAACTATGCTCTTCATCAAAATCAGCAATTGCTGGAGCTGCCACTTTCTCTGTAGACACAACATTATCACTAAAATCTAAAGCACTGCCATGTGTCCTACTCTTATGAGCATTAAAGGATGAATAAACATTTGTGGTATAACTACAGTTCTTAAATGGACATGGAACTGTTTCATGGTTTTTTAAGTGTCCTCTTAAATGACTAAACAACGTTTCCTCTGAAAAAGGCTGATTGAATTTGCACACTGAACAGGTAAACAGTGACACGCCTCCTTGTACCTCAATACCTGCAGAACCTTTGTGTTGGTGAGACCGTGACAGATGAATTTTTAAAGCATTAAAAGATGCAAATGTACAAATGCACGCTTCAAAAACACATGGCAGTGGTGTTACTTTGGAGAAATGGCTATGTTTTAACCGGTAGTGTTCCAATAATTTTCTCCGAGTATCTGAGGAGTGGACACACAACTTGCATTTCCATTTCATTTCACTTTAGAAACCCTTCAACTAGCCTTACTAGCCTCAAAATCAATCCAGAAAGTCCTTAATGAATCAACCTCTCCTCGTAGAAAGGTCCCTGGTGTTTGTTCCTGTAACACATTTAATAAGTAGTATTAGTCTTACACATTGATTTCCAAAATGAATACAAGTTACCTATAGAGAGGCTGAGGGTTCTTGATGAACGAATTCTTTAGGTTTAAGCAGAAATAGGAGATTAAATTACATTAATTATACTCACTTTAGAAACCTGTGGCCTCACAAGCCTCTGAATCACCTCGAAAAGGCTTCAATGAATCTACTCCTTCTCCTGGAATGCTCCCTGGTGTGTGCTCCTGTAATAAATTACATAAGTGATATTAGTCAAATACATTGAATACATTTTGCTCATTCTGTAAATATGTCATAGAAGTTACTAATAGAGAAACAGGCAGTTCCTGATGAAGTCCTGATTCTTTAGAATCCCACGTCTTAACAAAAAAACTGATTAAATTATACTAAAACCAAGCATTCAGTTCTAACTACAACTACTACTGCTGTTTCTCCTCGTCAAAATATCTTTAAATGTTATCACAGAAAGATGAGAACCTCCATATGGTTTACTCTTGCCTTCCCAAATTTAGCCTTTCAGATACGTGAGAAAATTCCCTGTAAATTTGCAATTTAAGAATTAAAATAATTACAAGCAAATATGTCCCTTTTGGCATGTAACCATACATTTTTACAGATTTTTAAACTTGTGCTTATAAAGTGTTTTAGAGAATATGGTTTAATAATAGAAAAAACAGTGGATATGAAACAGGGATTTTTTTACTACTGGTTACACACTATGAACAATAAATCGCAACCATCGGCCAAATACTATTGTTAGTACTAACTAACTACTATGGTACTACAATGGTACATTTCTCTGTAAACATGAGCCTAATTCTGAATACTATTTGATGTAAACACCACATTAAAATAGTTAGAACAATCTTATTTGTATTTTTTATGCATTGAAATCAACAGCGCTAAACGTACATGAATGTTTACTTGGCCTGCTACTAAGGCTGCTTGATTATGGCTAAACAAGATAATCACGATTACTTAGATTTGAGATTTAGATAATTTAACATGATTTTTAATTACCGTTAATGAACTTTGTTGAACATTAACAGTTGCTGTTAAACATAATTTTTAGCCTTTTTTCTGTTTTAAAAAAGAGAACCATCTTTAATAGAAGTTACACAAAGAGGTGCTGTGTCTTAGAGAACAAGGAACAATATACTTATAAACAACAAAGATAAACAGTGCAAACCTTAATCAAATACAAAGTTAGCGTTTCACCGAAGGGATTGTTCACTGTGTTTTGAATATGTTTTTTAAATATATTTTTGGGATGAAAATCTGCCAAACGATCCAAGCAGCACATCTCCCAACAAACTGCTGGCTTCAATTCCAATTTTTTTTTATGTATTTCTGAGTCCAATTAGACTGAAACATGGTGAATGTTTGTCAGAGACAGGCGCACATGGATGAAGCAGGAAATAAACATATCCACAATCGCTGCTATGTTAGAAGTCATTTATATTAGACAGAAATTATCTAATTTTCCATCTTAGCGCAGGTGGCACCGGCCAGAGATGACTTCAAGCAGCGCCGTTTATTAACTGTCTGCTCTGAGTGACTGCAGTCGGTTTACCTGCCGCAACCGTGGTCAGAAGCCGAACGTCTTCCGTACACAAGTAATACAATATGATTTAAATACAATTTAAAAACGTACCTCTGAGTTCGGGTAGAACTGTCTCTAATGCTCCAAGCCAACTGACTTTGACCTGTGTAACGAGAAACGCAGACACGCACACACGCACACACGCACACACACACACACACACACACACACACACACACACAGACGTTACTACGAGAAAGCTAGCTTAGCGCACATTTACACAGCAACAGTCATTAAGTTAAAATATATATATATAAACCATACATCGCGAAAGCTTGAACAATACCATATCACAAAACTTGTGGCGAAAATAGATAAACCATCGGTAATAATAACTCCCACCGACTGTCTCTTGTATTTTAGTTTCATCTAAGCTTGCATTAAAATAGCTAGCGGTTAGCTGATTCAAACATGTGTTGCGGCTCGGTGACGTAAAACGTAACAGTGTTTCGACCGAGATTATTCAACACGGACAAAATAGTTCTATGGTAATAACATAAATGAACTCAACGGAATAAACATTAGAAAACCGTGGTCTATACATTTTACTTACATTTTTTCTTGGTTAGCTTCGCTTAGCCTTGGCGCCATCATGAAAAGTTTCCCGTTTCTAATTCCCGTTCACGAACGTACGCTATGACGTCATTACGTTTCTTAACTCAATAACTTTGACACAAAGGTTTCATTTACTCATAATTTTATATTATAATAAATCTAACTTAAGTAAAAGTTGAATCTGCTTTAAAGTTTTAAGTTGTTTTGACTTGGTTGCCACTTTTGATTTCTATGGTTATAAAACGTTTGAGCTCATTGTACTTTTGGGTTTACAGTGTAATGGAAAGCATTACACATTTGATACATCAACCACAAACCACTCACATTTTCTTGCTGCTGAGCTACGCAGAGGGCTGCTGCTGGCCTGAGGTGCCTCTACACATGACCCCAGCTCTAGACATAATGGAATAAAAACATTCATCATATAGCTCACATAGCATTTAACTTGTT